CGTCTCTCTCTCTCTCTCTCTCTCTCTCTCTCTCTCTCTCTCCCGCGATCTGGGGTTTGAATTCGAGTTCAAGATCCGGGTCCGCGTCCCGCTCGGGGTTTCTTCTGGATCCCGCAGCGGAATCTGCGAGCCCCGCGGTCGAGGGTCGGTTCTTGATCAATCGCCGTCGGCATCCGGATCTCTCTTGCGATGGAGGCCATGGAGGACCTGAGCCAGCTAGCCGAGTCCATGATGCAGGCCGCCGCGCTCCTCGCGGACGAGGACGTCGACGAGGGATCGGCCAAACGGCGGACTTCCACCTTTCTTAACGTCGTTGCTCTTGGCAATGTCGTAAGTCCTCTTTAACCCTAAGCCTCTCTGTTACATGATTGGTTGAATGTCCCGAGAACGTGGATGATGGTTTTCTTGATTCGACAGACCTGTGGAAGTTCTTTTTTCAAGATTCATGTGGTTTGTGTTTATGTCTCGTTTCTTTACCTGTTCCTTTTGTCTATCCGGGAAACGTGATTTCAGGGTGCTGGTAAATCGGCGGTGTTGAACAGTTTGATCGGACATCCCGTCCTGGTACGGTGAATTTGTTGGAAGTTGGAACTACCTTTCTCCTTTGACTTATGTTTCATCTTTTATCCGCATCTTCTTCTCGATTTAATGAGCTTTTAATTGCTTGCTGCAGCCGACTGGAGAGAATGGTGCTACTCGGGCTCCTATCAGCATTGATCTGCAAAGAGATGGCTCTCTGAGCAATAAATTGATCATTTTGCAAGTCGACAATAAATCCCAACAGGTTTCTGCGAGTAAGAACTTCTAGAATGAAATTAGGGTCAAGTATAACCTATTTTGCTTGACACGTGGATTTCATGGATTCAAGAAGCTCCTATCTATGTACTTTTTAGATGCTGGGTGCTAATTAGTCTTTCAACACTTTTTTTTTGTGTTTGTTCAAGGTGCTCTCAGGCACTCTCTTCAGGACAGGCTAAGCAAGGGCACAGGAAAGAGCCATGCAGATGAGATCTATATGAAACTTCGGACCAGTACAGGTTTAACAATATCTTTAACTTTTTCTATTATTTTTTTCATCATAACAATATCTATAACTTTTCTACTTTCGTAGGGTTGCCGAAACATTGTTGCTTTTTGCCATTCTATCCTACTTATACTTCAAAATATTGATTTCTTGGGACCTAAATACTTTGTACACCACTTCATGCTCTACCAAATTGTTTATGTTTCTTACGTTGATCGTGTGATAGTTGAAGTGTTGAACCATGTATATTCATTACGTGATACCTTATTTTCCACTTCCACTGAAAATCACAAAAGTGGGCGGACTTTCAGTCTATATATAATTTAGCTATTCTAGTCTTGCTCTATATTGATGATCATTTGCAAGAAGTTGATGGTCTGTTTATTTCTTCTTCGGTTAATGCATATGTTTCAGCCTTTCAAGATGCTGGAAGCAGCCAATCATGCACTCACATAGTAGTACAACTCCCACTATTTCTTGTGTTGTTTGCATATGGTGTAATTTTTCCTATGCTAGATTGTCCTGTTATTAACATACAATAATGTAATTTGCGATATATCTCGAACATGCATAATCAACATTGCAGCATTGTACTTTTCTTTTGCTTCAAATGGACTCTTTTTCATGTAATTGGCAGGATTTTGACACATTAGTTGGACATATATGATATTGACTTTTCATACTTCAAGGAACTAATGACAGAAGTTTTTTGACAGAATTTAATTGGCGCAACGTTTAATGTCTTGAAATTATAAAGAAACTTTGAGCAGAAATGCAGCTGGAGTTAAGGTTAGGAGTGGAACTGAGGAGTAACTTATGTTCCATGAAATTATGATTATTGATGAAAAAGGGTTTCCTGCTAAATATGGTTTACCTTAGACTGCCCTATGATCATTTTCACTACTTTGTCAATGAAACAGTTTTCATAGAAAAAATATACTGTGTAAAATACTGGGACATTTTCTAATTACTATGCTAGCATAATCCAGGTTGTGTTTCTTGTATGACTAAGATTACGTAGCAAACTTTCAGTTGTTGATGTTGCTTCTCTGGGGAATTTCTGTTGTGTTTAATTTCTTGTGAAATGATTCTTGTCCTTGGTATACACTGACCCCTGTAGGTGGTTCTGCAATGAGCATAAGGTATACTCACAGCTGACATGTTTTTTGTTATACCAGCTCCTTCTTTGAAGCTGATTGATCTACCAGGATTAGACCAAAGGTCCATGGATGATTCTAGGGTAAGTTGCTATTTACAATTATATGATTTCAGTGATACACATTCTTTGGCAATGGTTATTTTTCCTTTAATGCTTTGGGGAGATGGGGGTGGTGATGCATCTTGTTTCAGGTCAGTGACTATGGGGCACATAATGATGCTATATTGCTAGTAATAGTGCCAGCTGCTCAGGCACCAGATATTTCTTCTTCTCGAGCTCTTAGACTGGCTAAGGAATTTGATGCAGAAGGTTTGTATTGCTTACTCAATTGCTTTATTTTATTTTTTATGACATCAAAATAGAGCATGAACTTGTACGCAAAGTGCAATAATAGAATTTTTATTATGTTAGTCTCCTTCCTGTTATAGAACTTTGACCAACGTCTCATGTGCTTCTGTTTCTTGTAGGGACTAGAACAATTGGTGTTATTAGCAAGATTGATCAAGCTGCTGGAGACCAGAAAAGTCTTGCAGCAGTTCAAGCTCTTCTTCTGAATCAGGGGCCACGGAGTGCTGCTGATATTCCATGGATTGCTCTGATTGGGCAATCTGTTTCTATTGCCTCGGCACAATCTGGATCAGTTGGATCTGAAAGTTCACTTGAAACTGCTTGGAGAGCTGAGACTGAAAGTCTAAAAACGATACTTACTGGAGCTCCACAAAATAAGCTTGGCAGAGTAGCATTAGTTGATGCCCTTGCCAAGCAAATACGTAAAAGAATGAAGCTCAGGTTGCCAAATCTTCTCTCAGGGTAATTCTCTATGTGATATACTGTTACATGCTTTTAGTTACAAAACTGTTATTATATACGCAAGTACAGATGTCTTTTTTGGTTAGCAACTTTTTTTTTTGGGTATACCATGGAAGTTGGGAACTAATGTAAAAGTTTCATGTCATTTTTTCTTTCTTATAATCTCTATTAAGCATGTTTTTCACTTATATGTCGTTTGTTCATTGAAAACAGCAGCCGGTTAGATAGTCAAATATATTCTATAATTAATTCTTTGAGACCTCTCAACCAAACTTCTTTGTTGAAATTAATGTGAAATGAGTATCAATGTTGTTTTGCTTTTATGGTGGTGCTAATATTCCCATGAATGCTTATCGCTACATGGCCAGAGCATCCTAGGAACTGTAATTGGTAGTTTTTTGATGCAAGAGATATGAACTGATGCAGATATTAAGCGACTGAAATTTTTATAAGCAGATGAAAAAAAGGTATATTGTTCACCACATTTCTTATTTGTGAGGCATTGGCTTCTTTTAGAGGATATTGCAACTGTTACATCCCCTTGTGGATTGACTAAGAAAATAAAAAACCATCTCCTTAAATGGCATATTCTCAATTTGTATTTGTCAAGCTAAGCTTTGAGAGATGTCTTTCTTGTTTGTCTTTTCAATAATTGCATGTGAGCAGTTCTGTATTAATGAGAGATTGTGCAGATTTATTATTCTTGTCAAAATATGTATTTGCTGGATTTTTCTTGCTGAGGTCAATAGGGTTGCTGTTGATGTTCTTAACTGATTAATCTACTTAATCCTTGCAGATTACAAGGTAAGTCCCAGATTGTTCAGGATGAGTTGTTTAGGCTTGGTGAACAAATGGTGCAGAGTGCAGAAGGTACCAGGGCTATTGCCTTGGAGCTTTGTCGAGAATTTGAGGACAAGTTTCTGCAGCACATTGCCACTGGGGAGGTCAGTGGTTGGCATTTTTGTTTGTAGTTTGGGTTTTATCATTCTTTGTTCAGACAGATGTAGTTCTGCTTCTAATAGTATTTGTTTTCATCTCAAGGAACTATTTTTCTGACATGTAAATTTTCATTGTCATTTATTATGTACTGGAATTTTCTTGGTGGTGCTTGGTCACTGGTCTATCTCCAGGTTCTTGTACATTCTCTATATCAATTCAAATTGGTTCTTTGCTCCTTCTAAATTGGTGCCACCTGATCTTCATATGGACCAGTGTATTTGAAGAATGAAATTGCCGAGTGCCATCTCATGATGTCAGAACCCAATGTGCCTTGTCAATGCCTAGGCTAAATGAAATGCCTTTATGTCTCTTCTTGCCTGATGACATAGAAGTAAGGATTAAAATTTCGTACCGTACCGGAGTTTCGAGATTTGCTCGGTATGGTACAATACTGTATACCGAGTGATACATTTCGGTATACCGCTTGATATATATATATATATATATATATATATATATATATATATATACATATATACATATGCCATGCACATGTATGCAGCCTCATTTCTATGTTTATTGACTCTCCTGACACATACATGAACATTAAGGAACACTCGAGTCTCCACCTACGATAGCTCTAGCTTTTTTAATGTTGCATAACTTTCAACTGTAGTTAATGTTTACTTTGTTGCTTTCATTGTCTGACGTCTTTGAGGACTTAATATCAGCTGAAGTTTGTAGAGTTGCAAGGACCTAGACCTGGTTACATGATCATGAAAACAAAAAAGGGGCTGCCTATTCCATGAGGCTCCTACTAATCTGTGGTCTACTCTTGTAATCAGATGCTGTTTTTGACTTTTTGTAAACTCAACTTTGGACATCCAGGTCACGTAGGAGGGAGAGCAGGAGTGCCTTCATACAAATAGTCATGATCCAAGCTGGCACAATAACCCACTTACTTTATGAAGTGGGCCTTGACTACATAGTAATTAAGTCACAATAACCTCAACTTTGGTCATCCCGGTCACTGAGGGAGAGCAGGAGTGCCTTCATACAAACAGTCATGATCCAATCTGGCACAACAACCCAATTACTTTATGAAGTGGGCCTTGACTACATAGCATTTAAGTCACAACTGATAGGTTACACAATCTGCAAAATATTGTCTGTTTCTTACAGCATGTTATGTACCTGAGCTTGCCTTTCAGATGGGATAAAGGAAAACAAAAGAAGCTGCACAAACCCATTTTTGTTGTTTAAATGCATTTGATTCAACCTACTAGCAATTAGCATCTTTTTGTGTTTGATAGGTTATTCCTTTCTTATATTTTTGATGGTTTATCTAAGATAAATCTGCTTCAAATGCTTTCGTTTCCTTCTCACAATAACCCAATTACTTTATGAAGTGGGCCTTGACTCCATAGTCTTTAAGTCACAACTGATAGGTTACACAACCTGCAAAATATTATCTATTTCTTACAGCATGTTATGTACCTGAGCTTGCCTTTCAGATGGGATAAAGAAAAACACAAGAAGCTGCACAAACCTATTTTTGTTGTTTAAATGCATTAGATTCAACCTACTAGAAATTACCATCTTTTTGTGTTTGGTAAGTTACTTCATTCTTATATTTTTGATGGTTTATACTTTATAGTAAGATAAATCTGCTTCAAATGCTTTCATTTTCTTCTCATTCTGAAGAGGTTTTTGATACTACTCCAAAAAAATGAAAAAATATGCAATTTATACTTTATAAGGTCATTGAGTAATATCATCTATTTGTTACATAGCAAGTTGTGCATTTCATTTACAGGGTGCAGGTTGGAAAGTTGTTGCAACATTTGAAGGAACTTTTCCTAACAGAATAAAGCAGCTTCCATTGGACAGACATTTTGATATCAACAATGTCAAAAGGGTAAGTTATACCTTTATGTTACATTTGATAAGATTTTGCTACATTTATACATGTTTAAATGTGCTGCATGATCTTATTGTGCCTTACAGATTGTGTTGGAGGCTGATGGTTATCAGCCATATTTGATATCTCCAGAGAAAGGTTTGAGATCTTTAATAAAAGGAGTATTGGAACTTGCAAAAGAACCATCACGACTTTGCGTGGATGAGGTAAGCAAGCCACACTATTTGGATAGCTTTTGTAGTTGGATTGGCATTGATTTTAACATGTCAAATCTCCTCATGCTATGACCAGTTTTTCTTGCCTCTTTTTTCTATAGAATTTTATGCAAGTTTATTTGGATTCTAAATTTTAATAAACAGTAACTCGTGCATGCACATAAGTTTTGTTTTTCATCATATGCTTTTACCTTTATTAAAGTTCTTCTGTTCACAAGCTACAGCTCTGACCTACTCTAGTTACTCTAGGTCATCATAAGTTTGGAAGCTTGAAGAGTTAACCTATTTATGACTTAAGGCTCCTATTTATTTTCATGTTCTTTCAAGTTTATTTGTGGATTTATCTGGGTTGTCTTTCTTTAAAGGTTGCCAACTATGTAATAATTTATTGTCAGATTTATCAGGGACTACCTTCAAATTTTTAACATGGAGAGAATGTGTGATTTGTAATAGAGCAGTCCTTTCATTGACATTGATCTATGTTTGACATGCACTCATGTAGTTGTCATGATAGGTAACTATAGTCTATATTTCATTGTAACAAATTGTAGCAATTTACTGTGTTATGTTGTTTTGAAATGGTTATCAAATAGGTGCATCGTGTTCTGTTAGATATAGTTTCTACTTCAGCGAATGCTACGCCAGGACTTGGCCGATATCCTCCATTTAAGAGAGAGGTAAAATTGGTATTAGTGTTATTTTATTTGTTAATTTGTTCATGAAAATGAGTACCATTAACTTTTTATTGTTTGTTTTTCTTTCCTTGGAAAAGGTGGTTGCAATTGCATCTACTGCATTAGAGAACTTTAGAAATGAAGCCAAAAAGATGGTTGTTGCATTAGTTGACATGGAGCGCGCTTTTGTTCCCCCTCAACATTTCATCCGTCTTGTCCAGCGGAGGTTTGTCTGTTTCTTATGTTGTATTCGTTTCTGATATTTGGTGAAAACAAAGAACAAAATAGTAGAACATCTTCACTTGGATGCAACAGTTTTGCATCTCAAGTTCACTATTTAGCTCATTTTTTAACTTGAATTGCTTAAATTTTGGCTTATAGCTTTGCTGTTAGCATATGCTTAATTTGGCATGTGCTATCTTTTATTGAGATGATTTTTGTGTGAGAGAGGTTGGCTTTTTTTTGGGGGGGGGCGGTTGGGGAGGGGGGGGGTTTTGGGGTTGTGTTGGAGGGGAAGGATTTTATGCTCTCTGGATCAGGTCCTGAAGCTTCGTATATATATCATGTTTTTATTCTTCAGAGCTAACAATTTTGCAGAAATCTGCCTGTTTTTACTCTTTGAAACATACTCTCATTTGTCATCATGTGAGATGTTTTTTAATACATACACACACACACGCATATATATATATATATATGTGTGTGTGTGTGTGTGTGTGTGTGTGTGTGTGTGTGTGTGTGTATACATATATATGTATGTGTGTGTATATATATATATGTGTATGTATATGTGTATGTATATATGTATGTGTATATATATATATATATGTATATATGTGTGTATGTGTATGTATATGTATATATGTGTGTGTGTGTGTGTATATATAACTGTGCAGTTTTCTAATACAAAACACTTCTTTACCAGAATGGACAGACAGCGTAGGGAGGAGGAACTGAAGAATCGATCATCAAAGAAAGCAAATGAAGCAGAGCAAGCTATTTTGAATAGAGTTAATTGCTGAACTTTTTAATGATTAGTCCATATTGAACATTTTGCATCTCAAATGCTTTGTTATTTAAATAGTGTTGGTCTGTAATTATTTTCAATCTTACATGTCTTTTTCTATCATATTATATACACTAGGCATCAAGTCCTCAACCAGGGGATCAAGGTGGTAGCTTGAAATCGATGAAGGAAAAATCAAATCAACCAGAAAAAGAAACCAAAGAAGGCTCAGCTTTGCAGGTTGCTGGACCTTCTGGAGAAATAACAGCAGGTTAATAGAATATCCTGGATGTTCTTGCATGATCTGGACAAAGATTATGCAGTTTATTTACACACTACATAACATGCATTCCTTCTAAACAGCATAAATTATGAGGGTCATGAAATTGCTTTTTATGATAGATGCAACCTCACATGTAGTTCACCTGGTTGGCCAAAATGTATGATAGACATAACCTCATTATGTGGTTCAGCTGCTTGGCCAAAAGGTGGAAGAAGTAGCTGAAAAAATCTTATAAGAACATTGGATTATTAGTTAAGTAGTCCATGATTTGTTTAATAAGGATAATACAGAACTTATTGCAAATACTGAAGGAAAAAACGAAAATAAATGAGCATTTGAATGGTTTGTCTCCCCAGTTAATTGCCTAATGAAATATATTATGTGGTTTCAATGATGAGTTGTTTCTGTAAGCATTTCATTATGTCGACCATCTAGTTCCAGGTCATGTACAAACTGTTTCTTTTGTGTGTTGTCATGCTGAAATTTTCTATGGAATCATTAGGGATTGGTCTTTGTCTGTAGGATTCTTACTGAAGAAAAGTGCAAAGACAAATGGCTGGAGCAGGCGATGGTTTGTCCTCAATGAGAAAAGTGGAAAGGTTACACCTCTTGACTTTCTTGCTACAGATTTTGCTATTTGCTTGATATATTTGCAACATTTTCTCATAATTATGTTCTGATTGGATCATCACTTTCTATTTCAGCTTGGATACACTAAAAAGCAGGAGGAGAGGCACTTCCGTGGTGTCATTACCTTGGAGGTACCAAAAGTTTTCTTTTTCTTTCTTTGTTACATCTTAAATTACAAAAGCAAGATTGTCAGTTTCTTTAAAATTTCATTTAATAGCATGGTGCTGCTGATAAAAATAATCTTGGCTCATGTCCTGTATTAATTTACGTGTAACTACATGCAGAGAAAATTTTTTGCATGACATCATTGTTTACAAGAACTTGAAACCAGTTAGTCTACTGTGTGAGATCTTGTTGTTTATACAATTACAGATTGCAGTTGACATAAGAAATTTGATTTTGTATTAGCAAACAAAGATTTTTCCTGATAGTATGTAATAACTAAAATATCCAACCGATTAGTCCATAGTTATCTAAAAAGAAAAAGAAAAGTTTGGTGGTGGATTCCTAAGTATATTTAGAGATAAAGAAATTTAATGAAATGTACATGCTTACGGCCATAGTTGAATCGTTGAATTCCCCAAATTGATGAGAACTGCAGAGTCCTAGGTCAACCAATCATCTTATATATATACAGAAAGTGCCTGAATTTGTCAGGCAAGGATCATAAAATGACAAAGTTCTTTATTTGGAAAAAGGTTTATTGTACAAAGTATGCATCTTGGAGTTATCATACAAGTGTCAATTGGGTAACAGAAGGCATATGTATAAAATATTCAGTTTTTATATTCACATAATATTGGTTACTTGAAATCTCTCTTGCACAAGTTATTTGTGTTCTGAATGAAAAATATTCGATTTAGATGTTCGACTGCAATCAGTCAATTAGTGAGCACATCAATCATGGACAAGACTTTTTGGTTTTTCAAATAGGTGCATTTTTGCTACTAGCTTGTTGCTGATAAACATGCATATAGTTTCATGCTAGATACACGTAGGGAATCATGTTAGATTATGCTTACAATTTAAGCTTTATACTTCCCAACTACTCTGGTACATCTTCTATTAATTTCCATGTACTCTCTTCTTGCTAACTAGCACAATATATCCTCTGCAGGAATGTAACCTTGAAGAAATTTCAGATGAGGATGACCCTCCTAAAAGTTCCAAGGACTCTAAAAAAGCAAAGGGACCAGAGAAAGGCCCAAGTCTTATCTTTAAGTTAACCAGCAAGGTCGCATACAAAACTGTTTTAAAAGGTGACTTTCTTATGCGTACAACAGCAACAACAATAAGTTGTAGTTTCCCAACTGTTTGGGACATATTTAACAGTATGATTTTTGGCTAAATATTGTTATACTTTTTTGTTACTGCTATTAATTCATGATTTTCTTGAGCTTGCAGCTCACAGTGCAGTAGTGTTAAAGGCTGAGAACATAGCTGACAAAGTTGAATGGATGAATAAGATTCGAAATATAACTGGACCTTCTAAGGGTGTGCCTGATTCTGTAGCTACTCCCACAATTAGACAAAGCCGTTCAGATGGTTCACTAGTAAGTCTGTCCTAATATGATTGAATACCTTCTTTTGTAATTAGGGAGAGGAACAATATCTACTGAGAATCTAGACACCATGCAAACTAACTGTGTTTTCACTTTTACCTGGAAATTGAGTTCTGCTCTCAATTCTGATGGTCAAAGCGGTTTCATTTTCAAGGGTCTAAACCATGCAGTTTGCCCAACACACCTCTGCCAACCATATTAGCTTTTGGACTAATTGTTGCATGCTGGATAAAGCACTTATAGTGCTTAAACATTGAAGATATGCCTATACCTGATTTAGCACTTAGTGCTTTTCTAATACTCTCAGTACCATGTCAAGATTTACAACTCAAACTAACATGCAAATAATTTCAGGATACCATGGCTAGAAGGCCAGCTGATCCAGAAGAAGAACTTCGATGGATGTCTCAAGAAGTTCGGGGTTATGTGGAGGCTGTCTTGAACAGCCTTGCTGCAAATGTTCCAAAGGTAAAATATTGCTCGTTGGCCTGTATCTGCCTACTTTGCATATTATTAGCTTGTTTTATCTCTTTTTTGATTGAGCAGGCAGTTGTGCTTTGTCAAGTTGAGAAAGCTAAAGAAGACATGTTGAATCAGCTATACAGCTCTGTAAGGTTGGCTGCCATTCGTTTAGTTTGTGACTGGAAAAATTTTGTAAACAAATGAGAACAAAAGAACTCCTTACTTAAAGAACTCCTAAACAGTAGATCTTTGTTATTTGCTTTTGATTACTATTTTGTAACGGAAAAACTAATCATTCTCAATCAGGTTGCTGGCTGATCGCAATTGCATAGTCTTTTATAACCAAATTGTTTTCTTTCATAGTGCTCAAAGTACAGCGAGGATTGAAGAACTACTCCAGGAAGATCAAAATGTGAAGCGTAGACGAGAACGGATCCAAAGGCAGTCATCCATTCTTTCAAAACTTACACGGCAGCTAAGCATCCATGACAACCAAGCAGCAGCAGCTAGCTGGTCTGATGGTAGTTCAGTGACAGGTAACTTTTATGGTTTCTGTTGCCAGTTGCATGAGTTACTCCCCAAGTTAATCTTTTAAGTGCTCAACAGGTAAGTAGTTGCACGTCCCAGGTTAATCTCATTGTGAATTTAATTTGCATTTGCAACAAGTAATTAATGGATTACACCAGTCCAAAAGTTTAGCACAAAACGACGATAACTTGAGAATATTGCCTAGTGTAAAGGTGCTGTGACTATATGAACTGCAGAAAGCAGCCCGAGGGCGAATGTGTCATCAGGTGATGATTGGAGATCGGCATTTGATGCTGCAGCAAACGGATCAGTTGACGGTGCATACACTAAGCCATCTAGGTCCAGCAGCAGCGGCCGTCGCCACAGCAACCCAACCCAGAATGGTGATGAAGGTTCAGGTGCGAACTCTGGTAGTCGTCGGACGCCTAACAGGTTGCCACCTGCTCCACCTCAAGGCAGTTCATCCACGCATAGATACTAAGTTGCCGTGAGGGTCTGTTGAGCATTAGATATTCTTGATGGATGCAAATTATCTTTGTGCTTTGGCATTTTATTTTTAGTTGATTCGAGCCACAGAAGAGCCAAAATGACCTATAGTGTTTTACCACCCGAACGCTGGAAAGTTGTATTCCATATACGGAGGTTCATATGTATTTATATCTGGGAAATACAAAAAGATACGCGGGGGTATCTACCCAGTGCGATAGTGATGTATGTTGGTATTATGATCGCTGTAGGCTTTTCTTCCATCGTTTCTTTAATTTGACAGGTCTTTTTTAACGTGCTGTGGCTCTTTCCCCATTCGCTGCATTCATCCATCGTACATCATGGCAAGTTTTGACTTAAGCTGTAGTAAGCCAAAGTAGCAATTCATTATGGGTATAAAACTGAAACAGACCGAAAGGCACCGTAGGATCAGATTGTCTGCAATATATATATATATATATAATCTCAATTTATCGGAGTAATATAATGTAAACTGCAGGCTCGGAGTATTATAACGCAAGGCTATATTGTTGGTGCTACTTTTCTGAGCTACCCGGACAGCTTACCAGCGTTAGATGAACCGTCCGGATCTTAAATAGCAGATATCGAAGTAAGCTCACCAAAATGCACAAGGGAACTTTTGAGAGGAAAAGGATATTTTTCTAACATAGTTGGAAATACTTTGTTCCCCAACTGCCTCAACACCTACATCCCATAAAAGCAACGGACAGAAGAATGTAACGGGGCACAAATGGGTTCAGGTTTTCACGAATGCACAAAACCAATGGAAAAACCTGTGGGTGCCCTGTTAGGCCTTCTCATATAAACTGAACACAATAATAAATACACATATATCATTGATATGGTCATAAGAACTATATACATAAATAAGCCTCTTTTCCTCCTCTACATAAAGAGAAAAAAATTGATCAATATGCATGGAATAATCACATGCAATTCAAGAAAGAAGTAAATAAGTTTAGAAGGCAATCTTATGAACGAAATCCTAGATCAACGTACTTTCTTGCAGTCTGATCACTCGATTCAGTGAAATAACTTGCAGATGCAATAGCAATCCTTTACATGGCGTAAAATCTGCAGAACAATTACAGGTTAGCAATGGTATGGAAGAACTAATACAAGGATTACCAGTAAGTTGCTTCAGGAAGTTGTAGCTTACCTTGTCTTCCGTGGAAGAATGAGACAAGCTAATAAAAACATGGGTGTCCTGAAAGCAAAAAGACCAGAGAACATACAAACTATATCATCGACTTGTAGGTATAGGACAAGGTCAAGGATCACTTTCTTTTTACAATAACAAAATAAAGCTGTTGAAAGATGTTTGCAGCATACCTCATATCAAAACTGAAGACTCCATAGAAGATTGATTCGATGTCCATACTTCAAATCCAACCATATTCTAAAAAAAAGTTATATTTCTTGTCAGATTAAAAGAATAACATCTAACATGGTATGATATGCTAACAGGAAAAGACCCAAAAATTACAAATCTGCCAAATCATACTTACTATTGCAAGAAAGCTTACATTTTTTTTTAAATAAAAAGACTTTTTGGCACATCTGCACTTCTAAGACCTGGAAGCCAAAGAAAAAGAAACTCATTACATTCATCTGTGCCCAGATAATAAGTCATAAGTAATTCATTGTAGTGGAGATTTACTGATGATGCAAACACACAAACAGGAAAAGGTCAGTACAGAAACAAAAGCTCAAGTTCCTCACTAGGCAAATGTAAGCCTAAAAAAATAAATAAGTTTTGTCAGTATCTGTAAACTGGCATTGTCTATTTCTTCATGTGCAACATCCATTTTCGGCTCCAGCACTGATAAACTCCTATATGCTTGACGATTTCTGTTGAAAGATATCTGCAGTAAGTCTGCATTTCTTGTATAATATATTTAAAAGGACTGATACAAGTCCAGTTCCAAAAGAAGGCAGCCCATGATGCTGACAAACATTAGATTATACCTGCAATCTTATAAAGCAAATCCTTCCAATTGTACTTCTGAACAAGGAGTCCAATTTTTAACCAGACTGGTCTGGGAGGTGGCTGTCCTATTACGGGCAGTCAGATCCACTCCTTTTCTTATTAAATCAGCTGTTTTTTCTATTAAACGACCTGTTGCCTATGGCTCACGATTCGCGAGCATTCCTCTTTGTCCATCGCTGAACCATCTCCATCGCCTGCTGCTGTACACCTGCCTCATCTGTGGTGCATCCCCTCACTGCCTCCTTCCTCTTCCTCCCCCTCCCACCCTCTCCACCAACATAAGGATGCAGTGGTACGTTCCAGCATCCCGTATATTGGTATGCCAAAACAAACCGGACCACTAACAGCCCTCACTGCCACCAGCCGTATGCTTTAACACAAGTTACCAATCAACAATCTTCCTCAAACTTCCTCACTATGACACCCTTTCATCAACCAAAATATTCAGTCACCAGAATAGCCATTGCAGCATAATTTGCATGCTGACTATTGCAGTAGACAATTATTCCATATAACAAAAGGAAAAACGACATCATACTACCCCAGTTTGAAGCAAAGGCAAACCAGATTAAATATTTTTCTTATTCACTAGAAGTAAATGCTAGTGAGATGTGGGATTACTGATAAAAAAATTTTAATTGATAAACCATAAACCAAAAATCATGTGCAAAAATCTTAAAAGTTAAAAATGTCATTTCATCATTCATTCATTTCATCACCAGAATAAGCAAGAAAGAGTATGACCTCTTAGCATGCTTCACAATCTAAAAAAAGTGAATTGCAAGACGGAAGTCCATGTTACCGTTAAGCATAACACTTTCAGTAAATTATCCCTAAACAAAGGCCAAAAATGCAAACAGATACGACATAAGCGAGAATCACAAATATCAAAAGGATTGTTGAATACGCACCCCTAGTCTTACCCCCTCATGGCTTGACCAAGCTAACCCTCATTCACCTTTCCACTGAACTAATTCACTAAGAGGTACCCGAATTTTGGCCACCTGTTCTTCTGCTTCAGTGTCATTAACAATTCCACGACATCTCGAGAAGCCACAATAACAAGCAAGTCGTTCATCAATTGAGAAAAATCTGACATGAAAATAGAAAAATGTAAAGATCTCGTATAATAAAAGGAAATATTGGACACAATCTCATATAATAAAAGGAAATATTGGACACAAGGATTGACTTATACCTGTAGTCATATGTCAATTCCTCCCATTGTTCAATGTCACGTTTTGCAAATATTATAATATGTTCATCACCATTAACACTTATGACCCTCGAATAACAATTGGGCTGCAATCCATAAAAAGTTTTAATGCTTTTTTTGATTGATAGAACCACAATTCATGGCAATATGTATCAACAAATAGAATCGCAGAAAAATGCCATCCATCATAGTGAAATTCTCAGACCAATCACTTGATGAATGACAACAAAGACCTTATTTATGTGAAAATCCATCTTATCATAGGAACCACCAACAAGAATGAAATTGCAATGGTATCAGGATAATGAAGTTGTGCCATCCCCAATCTTGTCAAAACTAATTGTTATCTATTCAAAGGTCCAGTTTATCCTTGCCAAAACTAATGTTATCTATTCCAGTTTATCTTGTACAATCAACAAATTGCAGTGCTATCCCAAAACTTGCTGTTATCTTGTACAATTAAAGTTCAAGGTGAAATCACTTACTTCACAGGAGTGGTTGATCAAATGAGCTATGCTTCCTGCCCTCGTAGCATCGATTACACGCTCATCATCTATCCTAAACATATAAGTCCCAGCACCCTGCAAGCATAGGTTATAATCTGCTAATCAGAACACTGTAAACAAACTAATAACTCACTTTATTTGAATTTATCTAAAAGAAAAAACAGCAGCAGATGAACTAAATTTTAAATGTTATCTTATAGATGTGAAAACATGGCAAGAGAAGGAAAGAAAGAAAGAAAGCACAGCAATAAATATATAGATTTTATGGTTAAGTGATACGACCTTGAACCATGCTGATTTTATAGAAGAAAAAATAGGACAGTTTAATGCAATCATGCATCAAGACTGCAAAGCAAGATGATCTGATAATTTCCTACAATAACATGAAGAGCTTGAATCAAAGTAACCATGGAGCAAATTACAGATAGTGACAAAGTTGTGGATATAGCCAAAAAATAATAACTAGCACAAGCAAAATTTCAAGGCAGTTAAACAATTCCTAGGAGTGAAGTCCTCTTGCATAACGAGGACTCAGATAAGCCACCTAGTTGATGAGATGTCCCTTTCTTATATATGAAAGAGACTTTTTTGCATATCAGTAAAAACTAAGCCTTAACCAATTCCCAAGGGTGTGAATCCTCATCTTCTTACCTAGTTGCTAATCCAGCTTCCACTCTCCATTAACTACTCTGCTTCACCGTCCATTCCAATACTACACATACCACAAGCAGGAAAGGAACATCCTATATTGGTCACCCCAGCTATCCTTCCACTGCAACGGAAGCCATTCCTCTTGTTTTGGATGGGAGTAAATTCTCAGTGTTTCTACTCTTTAGTCCGCTCCCTTCTTAGTTCAGACCCATCCCCTGTTCTATGCCCAACATCTCCAGTGCAGCTTTTTCCAAAACAGAACCATCAAACAATCAGGACAGCTAATCTTAAAATTCCATTTCCTAAACAAGGGATCTGATTCAGGCAAAAAGAGATTCTAGAAAGAGTCAGATGTGTCGAAAATGATACCAGGGCAAGAACCGTAACACCTTATTCAGATATGTCAAAGCCATTTATCATCCTAGATCAAGTGATGTATCATCCTAGATCAAGTCATGGCATGTTAACAGGCCAAAAGTAGGGCCGACAGAGCATGTCCATGATAAACGTTGCAAATGACATTATGTTACATGACTATGCCCCTAAAATGGCAATGCATATGCTTAGTATTACTATATGAGACCGATGTGTGGGAGTATTGAAGCAATAGCAAATTATGTTGATTTTCTACATTTCCTAAGCCATTCCATTTGAAAATTCTGCTATCTTTCACTTTAAAGATAAAAGGCCATTGGCACTCTCAATTTACACCTTGTCAATCACAAATAAAATTAATCCAAATACAGACACTGCACATGCATGGACTTACTCCTAGTGCCCATATACCATTGGCAAAGCCAAATCAGTAATACGGACACTTTCCACTAGTAACCCTCATTGTCGAAAGCCAAATCAGTAATCGGATTTAACCAAATGGCACAAACTACCTGAAGGTTTCCTAGGGAAACGA